AAATCTCGAATCTAGAGACATGGGGGCCGGCACGTCTAAGACCAGCAGGGCAGACTGTCAGTCTGGAGGCCCAGGGCAGAGTCGATGCTGTGATCTTGAGCCCAGAGGCAATCCAGAGACAGAATTCTTCCTCTTCAGGGCACCTTGGTCTTTTTCTCTGAAGACCTTCAACTGGTTGGATGAGGCCCACCCAAATCATGGAGGATCATGTGCTTTCCTGAAAGCCCACCAACCTAAATGGGAATCACATCATTAAAAATACCTCTACAGCGGGGCGCCTGGGTGGCTTAGTCGGTTAAGCGTCCGACTTTCGCTTAGGTCATGATCTCGCGGTTCTGGGTTCGAGCCCCGCGTCGGGCTCTGTGCTGACTGCCAGCTCAGAGCCTGGAGCCTATTTCAGAGTCTGTATCTCCCTCTCTCTCTGACCCCCCCCCTGCTCATGCTGTCTCTCTCTCTCTCTTCCCTAGAAAAAAAAAAAAAATACCTCCACAGCAATGTCTAGACTGGTGTTTGACAAAGTCACTGGTCACGATGGCCCAGCCACACGGACGCATAAAAGTAACCATCACAGGGCAATTCGGACTTCTAGAGGCTTCTCATGCTATTCTGCCTGGTCTTTCACAGGCCTGCCCTTTCGATGTGCCAGAACAGCGGACAAGCATTTCCTGGGTCTTCCCTTTCCAGGCCTTGCCTAGCGGCACAGCCTGGTGACCAAAGTCCCCACTGGCCAGACCACGCTGTCAGCCAATGCCCCTTTGAATGATGGTGCCGTCTGCGGTCAGTTTTGCCAAGGCAGACCCCTCGGCAAGGCTCTGCCTGCTAATCAGGTGCTCCAGGAGAGCTGGGAAGGGAGTGGGGGCAGCGGAGAAGGGGCAGAAATGGGCTTTCCAGCGAAGTCTCAGCCTGTTCCCATAGAGGGCTCGAGGGTGTGAGTTACACCTCAGAGTCTGTCCTTGAGGGAAGCGCACTTTGACGCTCACGCACTGGACGTCACGGGCTCCGGGCTGCTCTGGAGCTGGAGCGGGGGCATGAACTCAGTTCTGCACTCACGTAGCTGACGAAGCCCCAGTCCTCCATCCAGCAAGAAGGGAGGGAGGGAATGTGGGTGGGGGACCAAGGCGGTCGCTTCTGGGCTCACAGGAACACAGCGCCCCCGTGTGGTAAGACCACACAGCCTGTGAGGCCAGCACATGCTGAGGCCCTGGGAGGGCACCGGCTGTCTCTCTACCATCTGCCTGGCACTTCACTGGCATGAGAACCAGGGCCCTGCCGCATCTATGCCACATTTTCTTTATTTTTATTTTTATTTTTTAATGTTTTTTTATTTATTTCTAGAGAGAGAGAGAGACAGCGTGAGCAGGGGAGGGTCAGAGAGAGAGGGAGTCACAGACTCTGAAACAGGCTCCAGGCTCCGAGCTGGCAGTCAGCACAGACCCCGACGCGGGGCTCGAACCCACGAACCGCGAGGTCATGACCTAAGCGAAAGTCGGACGCTTAACCGACTAAGCCACTCAGGCGCCCCATTTTAATATTTATTTTTACTTTTGAGAGAGAGCACGAGCTGGGGAGGGACAGAGAGAGAGAGGGACAGAGGATCTGAAGCGAGTTCTGTGCCCATAGCAAAGAGCCCGACGCAGGGCTAGAACTCATGAACGGGGAGATCATGACCTGAGCCGCAGTCAGATGCCCAACAGACAGAGCCACCCAGGCGCCCCTGATCTGTGCCATATTTTCAAGAAATACTTGTGAAGTTAACAAAAGACGGGACATGGGGCACCTGGGTGGCTCAGTCGGTTAAGCGGCCAGCTTCTGCTCAGGTCATGTTCTCGCGGTCCGTGGGTTCGAGCCCCGCATCGGGCTCTGTGCTGACAGCTCAGAGCCTGGAGCCTGTTTCAGATTCTGCGTCTCCCTCTCTCTCTGCCCCTCCCCATCTCGTGCTCTGTCTCTCTCTGTCTCAGAGACGAATAAACGTTTAAAAAATAAAATTAAAAAAAAAAGGAAGGGATAAAAATTATACCAATCAGTCACCTGCATAGGAAACAGATCCCATTCTGGTAGTTGTAGCAGAAAGGAATTTAATAGAATTTAGTTTAGGGAATCAGGCCATTAGAACTGGCTGGAAAAACTGGAGAAGCAGTTGTGGATTGGGCCCGCAGGAGTGACGCTCAGAACGCCCCCCAACCAGTCTGTCAAAGGAGCCTCTACTTCCTCCACTGTCTGGAAAGTAGGGAATTAGGATGTAGTCCACAGAACTGTTGGCTTTGAGAGCACACCACTGTGGTTGTGATCCAGGAATCAGAAGAGTCACCACCAGCAACTGCAGACGTGCCTGTGGACACTCAGGAAGCCGAAGAACATCGTGGTGGAAAAGCCCCGCATCTTCACACATGGCTTAAACGCAACTGGAAGATGGTCCCTGCCTCACCTCCCCCTCCAAACCGCTCCTGCTTAGTGCATGCTAATTCCTATCCAGAATACTGGTTTCAAGCGAGTCTGGATAAAGCAGTTAATTTTTTTTTAATTTAAAAAATTTTTAACATTTATTTATTATTGAGAGACAGACAGAGACAGCGTGAGCAGGGTAGAGCAGAGAGACGGGAAGACACAGAATCCGAAGCAGGCTCCAGGCTCTGAGCTATCAGCACAGAGCACAATGCGGGGCCTGAACCCACAAACTGCAAGATCATGACCTGAGTTGAAGTTGGACAGACACTTAACCGACTGAGCCACCCAGGCGCCCCTGGGTAAGGTGGTTTTAGCTTTCTAGTTTGTGCCTGGTATTTTATGAGCTTTGTTCACATCCTTGCCACCAAATTGTTGGCTTGTGATAAGTTTGTGGTTGCCAAGGAAGCTCCAATGTCCCCAATTTTTTCTCGAAAACCTGCCCCAACACCTGTGTGGGGTGTTTCTGGGCACTAGTTCAAAGAATTTTGTTGCAGACTCTGGAAGAGAGAGATGCCAGAATTTGCCATGGGAGTAATGGAAATAGGCAGAAACTTAGACAGTGTGTCAGCAGCTTCTTATCTCTAGAAGGATGCATCAAATGTTGACTTCGTCTTCTGTGTTGGGAGCTGAGTAAGATTCCTGCCCTCACTGGGCTTGCAGTCACATGAGAGAAAAGAGACAAGCTGAGAGGGACTCACCATGAGTCTGGTAAGTACTGGCTGGATTTTATGGACATTAGGATTATTTAAACTGGGAAGGGGATAATAGAAAACTATTAGTAACCGGCAATGGGGGCACCTGGCTGCCTCAGTCAGTGGAGTGTGTGACTCTTGATCTTGGGGTTGTGAGTTCAAGCTTCACACTGGGTGTGGAGATTACTTAAAAATAAAAAAATATTTTTTTAAAAAATAAGAGGCAGTGTAACAGAGTGGTAAAGAACTTGGACTCTGGTTCTCATCTTGGTTTAGCCACTGATTAGCTGTGACTTCAGGCAAATTACTTGACCTCTCTGTGCCTCGGTTTCCCCATCTGTTGAATGAGAGTAAGAGCATCTGTGGCATAAGGCAGCGGTGAAGGTTATAACAAAGTTTTTTGAATAAATAGTGTCCTGTATGACATACTCACCTAGCGAGTGTTAACTGCTGGCAAATTCTCACTCTGTGAGCCACTGTGAAAAATCCAAACCCTAAAACACTTTAACATAGGGGCGCCTGGGTGGCTTAGTCGGTTAAGCGTCCGACTTTCGCTTAGGTCATGATCTCACGGTTCGTGGGTTCGAGCCCCGCGTCCGGCTCTGTGCTGACTGCCAGCTCAGAGCCTGGAGCCTGCTTCAGAGTCTGTGATTCCCTCTCTCTCTCTGACCCTCCCCTGCTCACACACTCTCTCTCTCTCTCTCTCTCCCAGAAATAAATAAAACATTTTAAAAAACCACTTTAACATCAATCAATAAACACATTCTGAGCTGGCAGCAGAGGGACTGTAAACTGTGCTTGTCATAATGGCCACACGGTGGCGCCCCTGCTAATGGCTCGACAGAAACCCTTGTTTCAGGCCAGTTCCTCGGGCGATTCCATGGGAGGTGCCCACATACCCATGACATGGGCCAGGTGCTGCCAAGACGGGAGGCCACACAAGGAAGGGAAGCTAAGCTTGGAAGGAGGGCGTTGGGTCGGGGGACTGGCGGTGGCACGGAACAGAATGCTACTCAAAGCAGGCCAAAGGAAAGGGCTTACTTACTGCAAAACTTTCCTGCCATTGAAGGAAGAGCAGCTTTCAGAGAAGGTCTCAGGCACTCTCTGGATTCCGATGGCCTTTTCTCTGCCGGCCTCTCTACCCATCTGCTCCGTCGTCTCAGCTTCTCCGCTCCTTCCTCACCTGAACGGAACACAGCACCACCTCCAGGAGGCCCACCGCGCACCCCCGCAGCCTGAGCCTCACTTTGGTACCTGGGAGAGACTCTGGTGGGCTCCAGCTGGGCCAGAGCTCAGCCTGGGCGGGCCGGCATGGAGGACACATCCTCAGAATGACATTTTATTTATTTTTATTTTTTAAATGTTTATTTAGTTTTGAGACAGAGACAGACAGCATGAGTGGGGAAAGGGCCGAGAGAGGGAGACGCAGAATTCAAAGCAGGCTCCAGGCTCTGAGCTGTCAGCACGGAGCCCGACGCAGGGCTCAAACTCACAAACCGTGAGACCAGGACCTGAGCCGGAGTCAGACGCCCAACTGACTGAGCCACCCAGACGCCCCCAGATTGATATTTTAGAAGGGCCCGTGCCCAGGGGTATCGATGACATACTGAGTTCTGAGGTGAAGCCCCAGTTTGGATACTTCTCATTCAGATGAGAGAGGAGAGATGGGGGTGGGGTGACACACACCTGAGGCTGAAACCTGGCTCTAGAAGTTTCCAGCTGTGTGACTTTGAGCAAGTTACTTACCCTCCCTGAGTTTTGCCTTCAGAAGTGCCTGGCATATGGTTGGAGCTCAGCATGTATTTGTTGAATGAATGAATGAATGAATGAATGAATGAATATCGAGGATCTGTCAAAACTTACGAGCAGATTGAAAGCGGAACACCATGACTGGACTGGCAGAGATGATCCCGCTGCGGAGGTGGGAGCCTGGGGGAAGCCCAGATTCGGGGGGGGGGGGGGGGCTGGAAGTAGGCAGACGCTGTCAGGGGACAAGGGACATGGCTTGCCTGGCTGCAGGAACGCTGGCCAGGCCGGGAGACTGCCCCATCCACCTCGGTCTCCGTGGGACCTTCCCGAAGGGGGTGGGGATAGCAGAGTCTCCAGCCTCAAGTAGAAGAGGAGGTGAGCTGTAGGCCTGATGTCTGGCTGCCCCGCTCACTGCTGCGCCCACTACCAGGAGTGCCTGTTTCCTGAGAGGTGGGAGGGCCCTGCCTGCGCACAGGGGAGGGTGCTTTGCGTGCAGTTTGAGAGGCAGAGAGGAACCAGGAAGGGAAAGAGGTTCCCAGACGTCGTTAGGCTATTGCTTGCCTGTCCCCTCTGTCCAGACCCCAAGCCTTCAGGTAAGCGCCGGGGAGGAGTTCATTCCACACGGCCTCGGCCTGCGTCCTGTGCGCCTGCATCTCCCGGGAACGGCCGCCAGAGGGCGCTGTTGGACAGCGCGCAGAGCGGCGCTCTGGGGCCGAAGAGCGGCGAGGTCAGGACTGCCGACCCGAGGACCCGTCACGCGTGGGGAGGACGCCAGAAGGAGAGCCTGGGAGACCCTCAGGGCTTCCTGCATCCTGCAAGAGCCTTAGCGTCGTCTGGCCGGGTTTTGGGGGTGCGCGGCCCTCAGCCTCCCCAGCTTCAGATCTGAAACCCCGTGGGAAGGGGAAGGCCGGGCGGCATTGCTCGAGCGACGGCAGAGCCGTCAGGGGGCGCTAGTCTCACTTCCCCCGCTCTCCATCTAGGCCACCGCCAGGTCCCCGAGGTCTCCCCACCCCCAGTTCCCTGCGGTCCTGGCCTAGGGGTCCCGAGACGTGGGGGTTCGGCCGCAGGAACGATGCAGCGGCGGCCGCCCGGCCCTCGCTGGCCAGAGCTCTTCCTGTGCGCCCCGCGCTCCTTACCCGCGGCCTTTCTCGGGGGGGGGGGGGGGGGGGGGGGCGGGGGGGGGAGGCACCGCCCTCATACCCTGGCCCTGGCGTTCGGCTTCTCCGCGGCTCTCCCCTCCAGTTTAGCTCCCAGGAGCGGCACGGACGATTCTGGAACTGGACTGGGCGGGCTTAACCCCAGGCCTGAGTGACCTTGAGGGCTGGGCGTCGATGTTCTTCCTGGATTCAGTGACCCCACAATCCCGGAGTCGGGGGGGGGGGCGGGGGACAGAAAGGGGGCGGAGCGAAAGAACCTTCAGGCACCAAAAAGAGATACGTTAACAGCAGCCGACCTTTTCCTGGGCACTGCTGTGCATGCTGGCCCTTCTGAACCTCCATCTTACGTGGGTTCAGGCTGAGTGCTCAGTCTCATCTAGGCCTTTCTCGGGCTCAGAGAGCATACACCTCCGTATGGGAGCTGGGGACACTTGCTGAGGCGCGCCGCGGGGCACAGGTGTGCAACATGGGGCTGAGCTCCCTGGGGGACTCACGCTGTCTCCGTGGGTCCTGAGGCTGGAGAAGGTGGGTGGGGTATTGAAGACAGCCCTGGCACCAGCCCTGGGACCCTGGGGCCCTTTTGTCTTTTTCCCAGTAAACTGGGGAAGAGTCGCCATGCTGGGGAAACTGGGATTTGAGGAGGCCCCATGGGGCTGGCGCTTCCTGCTGTGCTTCCCCCCTAAACCTGGACTGTTTCCTTTCACTCTCTTAACTCAGGGAAGGCTTGGGCCAACTGGGAGCTGGGGTCTGGGCCCTGAGGAAAGAGGAAGGGAAATCCAGGCTGCAGGAGTGCAGCTGGGAGGCTGGAGAAGTCCAAGGAGGTATGTCACTGGCTGTCCCCTCAACCTCCATTCCTGAAGTCAGGGCTACAGCCTCCTGAAAAGCTCCTGGGCAGGTCCAAGCGCCAAGGGGCAAACAACACGAGTTGGACAGAACCCTAATGAGGGTGTACAGGCTGGGACAGAGTCAGCCAAAATCATACTAGGCCTGCACCTGTGGTCCAGTCCCTCCAGACAGGGTGAGACCCAGATAACCCTCTCACTGTGGACCAGCATCCTGTGACTCTGCTGCGGCATCCAAAAAAGGCAGCTGAGGGCGGGAGTGGAGAGGACGGGAGGGGGGCCGCCGGCGCCCGGTTTGGCGGGCGCCTCAATGGGCCGCTGGGGCCAGAGCAGCGGCCTAATGGATTCAGGCCTGCCGGGCAGAGGCGCACCCGCCCGCCCGCTCCTGCTCTCAATAGCGGACAATGGAGTCCCAGGGTGACCTGAACAAAGAATTTGGAAGTAGTTAAACTGCAGAACACGTTCTGGGCCTGGGTGCCTCCTTTCAAAGAGAGCGAAGGGAGAAGAAAAGAAAGCACTGGGGGGTGGAGGGGGTGAGAAAATGCCCAGGGGAAAAGTTGGTAGGTCGCCCTAGTTGCCGCCAGCTACCAGACGCCAAGAATTCAATAGGATATGGGGGGAGGGGGGAAGTGGCCCAAGTCTGCCTGACCACAGGGAGAGGCTGAGAAAGTTCTCCCAGAGATGACTGGGGTTCCCCAGCCTCCCCATCCCCCACCCCCTCACTCCCGCCCAGACTTCCAGTCTGGGCCAGGCTCAGGAGCTGGGCTGCCCAGGAGCTGGGCTGCCCAGGAAGCCTGAGAGAGGCTTCTCTGGGCTTTGGAGGCTAGAATAGGAGTCAATAGGTAGAGAAGGGGAAGGAAGTGTGTGGGCTCTGTCCCGGTTCCACTGCAGGGACTGTAAATGCAGTGTCTCTGGGTCTAACCCTGAGTTTCTCCAAGGCTCCTCTAGCAAATTCTCTCTGGATAGGTTTCCCTTTCTGATCTCTTTCTCAGAATTTGTTTTTTTCTTTCCCCATCCAGTTTAGAAAGGCTGGGTACCCCCTGCTCCTTGGCTTGCTCCATCCCATACAGGCAGCAATCCTGATTCTTCTAATGAGAATATTCTTTTTTTTTTTTTTTTTCCTTTAAAGTCAGGCCTCTAGGTATAGCAATTAAGGCCAATTTTTATTATCTCTTGTGTTTTTTCTGCACTTTCCCATTTTCCCACAATGAGCACAGTCACAAAATGGGAGATGGGGAAGACATTTAGTTAAGCAGTGAGCTACACTGATATCCAACTAATTTAGAAAAGGAGAATCTGTAGAGGTTACTGGAAACCAAAAGAGTAAGTAAAATGACAGGAAAAATGGTCAGGAAATGCATTGAGGTGGTGGTGGGGAAACAAATCCTCTCCCCCTCTTCTAGCCCTTTCCTCAGTTTGTTCAGAAAAGGTAGAAGTAGGAAAGAAGAAAAAAGCCTTAGCGGCCACTGCTCGTAAAAAGTGGTGGCTCTGGAATCAGAGAGAGCGCGCCCCAGCCAGGCGGCTCCCTCCTGTGGGAGGCGCTTGGTTTGCAAGGGGTTAACAGCGTTGCTCGTGAACTTGGCCTGTCTGTCTGGTTCGTGATGGATGGTGAGACCCGCTGACAAGTTCAGCCGGAGGGACCTCCCCTGCTGTGGTGGCGGGAGAAACACGCAGGCGGAAGGGAAGTGGCCGGGACGAGTGGCCGGGACGCGCGGGGAAGACCGGTTTGGCGTGGCAGGGCGACCGACCAGGCGCCCTCTCGGCTCCCGCCTCCCCCGGACGGCTCCCCTCCTCTGCTGGAGCTTCCCTACGCTGTCCCGGAGCACCAAAGTTTCCCGGAGCTTCGCTCTGTAAGTCCCACGCCCCCTGCCCGCCCTCGCGGGCCCTGCAGAGCGGTGGGGAGCTGGGCGTCGCGCGCCGGCCTCTCGGGAGGCCAAGTTCAGCATTTGGACAGCGGCTCCGGGGCGCAGCCGGCCCCGCGCGGAGTTTTCAGGCGCCCGGCCCAGGGCGGGTGGGGGAGGGGAAAGCAGCCCCGGGTCTTGCAAAAGCGGGACCAAGCCTGGCGGGAACCCTCGGCCGCGAAAGGGACACCTTTCCGCAAGCTAAAATATTTCTTCCGAGCTTACACGAGTCCCCCCGGACCGATCAACCCGGCGTGGATGCCCTCAGCGTAACCAGCACCTGCTTAGAGTAAAAGGCCCCCTTTCAGCTCAGAGAGTAGACGCCCCCGTCTCCTCGGCTCTGCATTCTCCCCAAAGCAGCCTGGATCCCTCGGCTGAGAGCTGCCTGCGAGGCTCCAACCCGCGGCTCGCCGCCACCTCCCAGGTTGTCGGTGGCTCTGGACGAGCCTGGCAGTGCGCGGGGGTGGGGGTGGGGGGCGGCGAAGGCTTGAATGGCGCCGCGACTCCCCGGGTGAAGCTGCAAGGCGAGCGGGGCGGGCAGGGGGGGGGGAGGAAGCGCCGGGGCGCGAGGCCGGGCGCCCCTCACAGCTTGCCTCCGCCCCCTCCATTCCGCACTGGTCGGAGTGAGGGGAGGGGGGCGGGGGGAGCCGCGCTGACGTCACTGCGGGCCGTGCCCGCCCGAGAAGGCGGCGCTGGGAGCCGCTCAGAGCCCCGAGAAGCCGCGCGCCGCCGGGAGCCCCCGCACCGCCGCTTCCGTGCCCGCCTCCCGCGGCTCTCGGCCGTGCGCCCGCCGAGGCAGGGGCGCCTGGAGAGCGGCCGGAGCCGGGCCTGGGCCCGCGACCGCGCCTCATCAGGGGCCGCGGAGCCGCTGTCCCCGCAGCCGCCCCACCCCCGCCGCTGCCTCGCGGGCCCCCGGCCCCCTTCCCGGTCCGTAAGTGCCGCTGCCTGCTGTGTCTCAGGGAGGCTGGGGAGCGGGGGCCAGGGCGCGAGGGCGGTAGCCTCGGCTAGGGCGGCGTCAGGGAGCTGGTCTGGACTGGGAGAGGGGGCTGGGGCGTCCCTGCTCGGCCCCCTTGGGCAGCACCCGCGGCGCGGGGCTTCCCGTCGCCGCCCGGCGGGGTGAGGGGTGCACTCTGACTGCGGGTGGAAGGCGGGGCTCAGCCCCGGGGGCCTGACCCTATATCCCCTGCAAATCGTCAAGGCCAAGGTCAAGGGTCGTGGGGCAGTGGGAAGCGCCCAGAGGTGAGGGCTCTGGGTGTGCAGAAAGGGGAGGGGCGCGGGGCCGGATTGGAAGTTGTGGGACTGCAGACAGGTTCACCAGAAAGGAGAGAGCGTTTCCGAAGTGAGGCTCCAGGGAGTCCCCGGATCGCCCCCTTCCTCACCTTTGCTCCTAACCCCCTTCTTTCTTCTCATCGCCTCCCTCGCAAAAAATAACCCAGAAAGTGGCTTCCTGGAAAAAAAAATATTTTAAGAAATAATGCAACACACAGCACCCACTCTAGACAAGATTTATGGCACGCTTATCCCCTTCTGTAATGGGAAGTTGTTGGGAAAGCCTTTCTGCTCTGCTCCTCACCCCGCCCAACCCCAGCCGTCGGTGCCCTCCACCCCACACCCCTATCCCCGTGCCTAAGAACAGGCCTCTTGGATCTGTTTGAGGGTGTCTCTGCCTCTGTCTCCGAGCCTCCTCCAGCCCAGGCTCTGGTGAGCTTGGGAAGAATGAGGACAGCCTTGCAGATTGAGGCTGTGGTGTGGGGCTTCTCTGGGAGAAGGCGGTGGGGAGAGACTCTCGGCTGGCCCCCCAGCAAAGCAGGGAGGTAGCAGAAGCTGGGAGAGACCACGGGGTCAGATCATGAGAGTAGTGCGTGCATTCAGAAATACACAGTTTGAGTCCTTGTGACTGGAGAGAAATTCAGGTGCTGGGGCGGAAAGGGAGCCCCTTTTTGAGCTGGCCACATCCTGGAGGAGGTGGGTTCTTTGGCTGTAGAAGGGGAAAGGATAGAGTTTGAGGGTCTGGCTTTAAATCAAGAGACAGAGACTAGAGGGTAGGCTAGGTGGGCATTGGGGAGGGGGGGGTCATGAGAGGTTCAATGGCAGGAACCTCCATTAGCAATGCCAGCTGCTGCAGACCCCAGGGGAGAGGTGCTGCTCTGCCCAGGCCTTTTCAGGTGGGGTATTTCTGGGTTTCTGCCCAGCCTGGGGCTCCCCAGAGCCCACACCCTGGATGCCTGAGCCCCAGCTTCTGAGAAAAGGGAGGCCAGATGTGGAAGCCAGAGAGGGCAGTATAGCCCAGGTGACCATGTGAATTTGAAGCTGGGTGTGGAATCCCTGGGGACCTTGGGCGCAAGAAGCTAGGTCCATATGCCCTAGTTCAGTGCTGGACTTCCAGAATTCACACAATAGGAAGACCCAGCTTAATCAAAGCTTGGGCCTGAGGGAGGAACATGGGAGGAAGGAAGCAGCGGCGGAAAGTGCACCCTGGACCTAGCCTAGGTTGTGACTGGTGATCTGGTGATACCGTCTCCTGATTAAGGCCACAGGGGCTCAGGAAAGGGGTGCCAGTTCCTGGCAAACGTCAGTCAGGTCCCTCCTGGAGCTTGGGCAGCTCCATGGATCTCAGGCTCCCAGCCTCTGGATCAGAGCAAGTCTGGCCACAGGATATTAGGTGCTTGAACAGAGCTGTTGGCTAGAGTCAGAACTGCCCACTCTCCTTCCATTTAATCCCTTAATTCACTGCATCCTGAATTGGGGCGGGGAGACACAGCCCTGGGGGTCAACACGGCCCCCATGTAACCACCAACAAGAAACAGGAACGTGGGCCAAAGCCAGCTTGCAGCCCAAGCGGCTGAGGTTACCAATGGGCACAAAAGTGCTTGCATACACGTGTGTGTGCACCAGCAAGGTATCTGCCACCTGCCTCAGGCTGGCTGCTAGATGGGTATTTGGGGCAAGTGTGTGCACGTGTGGGGAGTGTTGCAGTTGTATGAATCTGAAGGGGTACAGGGCACACATGTGCCTATAGCAAGAATGGTATCTCTATAGACACAGGTATGGGGGTGGGGACCGGGTCCTCTCTGGCCTTTGGTGGAGGTTTGACTATGAAAAATGGAGTCTCTGGCCCTTGGTAGGCACACCTAGGAGGGAAGCCTCCCCTTGAGGAGACACCTGCCGCTGGGGCTCTCTCTCGAGCTGTGGTTACTTTCTCCTGGTAGCTGCTGAGCTTGGGTTTGGGGAGATACAGGGAAGTTTGGGGACGGATGAAGCTGTGGAGAGAGGGGTCTGGAAGGCAGCTCTCAGCACCGTGGCCAGGGCCTGGCCCCACCACCTCAGGCGCTTTGCCGCCAGCACCCACACTCGGGGCAGAGCCAGTGGCTGCTTCCCCGTGATCATAGGGCCTGTACCTCAGCCTGTGGGCCCAGGGCAGGGGCTTGGTGTGAGACCAAGTGCATAGAGCATGCAGGGGAGAGGGTGCTGGGCCAGGGCTGATGGGGTTCTCCTCGCTCTGCTCTGGTTTGGAATGGGCCTGTCCTACATCCTGCCAGCCTCATCTCATGGTGCCAGATGAGGTGTGCCTCCTCCAGCATCAACCTGGACCATTTCCTGGCCCCTGTCTAAGCTCTGCTAGGCTGTGGAGGCCAGACACCAGGCCACAGGGACTCAGCCAGTCCTGACCCACCAGGGCAGCACCCTCCCTGCAGCCTACTCACCAGATGTCACCGTGGCTTGCTTCCTGGGAGTGCCGCTACGATGGCCCGGTGCTGGAGGTGGAGGTGGAGGGACTCCAAGTCGCACTCCAGCAGAGCCCCCGGCCAGTCCCACCTGCTCCCCACGAAGGGACTCAGTTTCCCAAAAAGGGCAGCAGAGATGTGGCCCCCGGATGACAGTGGCCTCCCACATTTGAATTCAATCCAAATCGGGCTTTTCATTTTTTTCTCCCAGAGCCCCCACCCGCCCTCAGCTTGCCAGTCGGGCCTCCGGCGCGCCGCTGTGTTACCGTGAGCCTCGCTGAGGAGCCATTTTGTGCAGCATCCTGCTTAAATCACACTCCGAGGGGCTCCTTTCTCGCTCTCCACCCCCCCCCCATTTGCTCCCTCTCCCGCAGGTGAACCTTGCTTCTCCGCCCCTTCCCGCCTCCGCAGCACCACCCTTCCCACCCCGGGGTGGCCCAGAAGGACTAGGGCTCTGGAGGCCGCCCCCACACACACCAAGATGGGGAGACAGTGCGGGTTCCTGGAGCTGCAGGAGAAGGGGAAGGAAGGGGCGCCTCCCAATTATGGTAATCCTTTGGAATTAACTGTCTCGGGCCCAAATTCGGGTGGTTCCTTCCCGAGGGCTGCTGCCAGCCTCCCTGTTTCTCCACTGTTGCTGCTCTGTCTGGCTCTTGTTTGCCTTCAGGAAAAAGGGATGTGTATGCAAAATGGGATTTGGAGGGAGGTATGTAAATGCCAGGTCTGGTCTGGCACTAGCTGGCTGGGATGGGAGCGAGATGCAGGCCGCCTTGTATTTAGGGTCAGGATGAAAATAGAACAATATTGAGATAAGCCGTGGGGCAACGGGAACTTGGCAACACCCGGAAATTGACAAAACGGAGATGTGTCATTTTTAGGGGGAAATAGGGGAGGAAAGGATATTTAGAAAAATCGTGAAATCCCTTCCAAACCACCCGCTTCAGCTCCCTTCTTTGGAACCCATTCTGCAGGGATTTGCCTGGCTCAGAGTGGTTCAGTGCACCAGGCCCTATTAAAATGTACCCTCCTATAGACACCTCCGCCCAACCTCATGGTGGTCTTTGCAGACCAGCAGCATTAGGGGGCCCTGAGTGGAAAAAGCCCGTGTATATTGGACCTCCGAAAGCTGGGACTTCACCTGGCCATTTTGCTTCCGAATCTCTCCCTATATCTTGGAAAATTTTTTCTGGGAGCAGCTGAGAGCAAAGATATCACTTTTTTTTTCCTCCATATTTACTCTTTGTGCATCCTGAGGGTGACTGGCAGGGGAAGGTGAATCCCAGCATCCAAGGCTGGAGGGTAGCCGCAGCGTTAAGGAGGAAGCAAGTGATGGCTGGGGTAAGCGAGGAGCGGCACACATGGGCCACTCACGCCTGGAAGGCTGCAAAAAGAGCCTTCGGGTCTGCTGGTCAGGCTCAGTTGGGGGTCGTTTTGGGAGATCCAGCGTGGCAGCCCCTTTTCCTGTTGACCCGCTTGCTGTGAGTAGGCAGGGTGTATGCTGAGAGCCCCAGAAGGAAGGCTAAGGCGCAGCTTTGTGTTTTCATTTTTCGGTGGAACATGAATTTAACCAGCAGCCTAGTTCGGGCCTAGGACGTCTCCAAGCCGCTGGACACAATCAGCTGGACCTTCCTAGGCTCTTCAAAAGAGGAGGGACCCAGCAGCTGGGTAGTGGGCACCAGGGCCTGATGCCAGGGCAGCTTGGCTCTGAACAGTGTGGTTGGGACATCGACCCTGGCCGTAGTTCCTCCCTCCGCTCTCAGTTTCCTCGTGGGCTGGTGCTGGAAGGTGCTGGGCGTGGGGAGAAGAGGGAAGTTCAAGGTGAACCGGCTCCTACCCTCGGTCTAAGGCCTTGCAAGTGCGCACTTGGCCGCCCCGAGAGACCTCTACCACGCCCCACCACGTGTGTCCCCAAACCTCCTCAGCGGAGCTCCCTAACTCTGAAGGTTCGCGGTGGCTGCCAGGCTCCCTGGCACTTGGCGGAGGCAGAGGAGTGTGGAGGAAAGGCCAGACGGTGCGCACACGGGAGCGCAGACCTAACGCTTTTGAGGGCACCGTAGACGCTCTCTCGGCCTCGGGGAAGGAAAGCCGTGAACGCCGAGGCCATTGTAAGGCTGGGTGGTGCGGAGCGCGGGAAGGGGGCTGGGATTTGAATGAGAGCCTGTGATTGGCCGATCCCCGCACTGACGTCACTTCCCCGCGGGGCGATTAGCGTGCGAGAGGAGGGCTGGCGGTCCAGTGCGCGGGGGGCGGCCGTGGCGCCCGAGGCTGCCGACGCGCACCGCGCGGGTGCCCTCAGTGCGCCCTGGGACGCCGTCGGAGCGGGCTGCGGGCGCCGGTGCCCGCGCCAACAGAACGGGGAGCCGGGGAGGGACGCGCTAGGAGGGCGAAAAGGAGGGAGGGAGGGAGGGAACTGGGCGGGGGCTGCCGGCCTTGGCCGTGGGAGTCAGTGTGTCCGTGTGTCCGTCGGTCCCCTCTGGCTCTCCGCGCGCGCCTGGGGCTCCGGGAGCGGCTCCCGCTCCGGTTCCCGCGCCCAGAGGGCAGCGGCACGTGGGGCCCACGGCGCGGCAGCGGCGGTGGCGAAGGGAGGCCCGTTTCTCTCTTTGGTTATCTAGCTGTATGAGTGCCACAGAGCCGTCATAAAGCTAGATAACCGAAAGTAGAAATGACTCTCACAACTTCTGTGTGCGAGCGCCCGCCCTGCTGGCCGCCCCGGCCCGCACGAGCCAGAGGAACCCAGCGGAGCCCAGTGCCGGCCCAGCGGACTCCAGCCCGGCGGAGCGGCCGCGCCCGGACCAGGTACCTGACCTCGGCTCTCTCTCCAGGGACACTTTCCGTACCCTGGAGGAACTTGCCAGCCAGCCTTCCCCCTACTCCTCCTCTTTCCCCGCCCCCACTCCATCCCCCAGCGCCAAGGCAGGAACCCCAAAGTGGAGAGGACCGGAGGAAGGGAGGGGGTTGGGGTTGCAGAGGGGTCGCTGGCGGGGAAGGCACCAGCCTTCGCCTTCACCCCATAAATCAGGCTGAAACAATCCTCTCCCGGAGCTGCGGACGGGGATTTTGGGATGCAAATGCGGTGGGAGAGAGACAGCGGCCGGTAGGGGATGGGGGTGGGGGGATTGAAGGGGTGGGCAGGGGGCTGCCCCGCCGCTAACAAAGCGGCCTTTATCGAATTATTCGAGGAGTCAGCCCCTGAGCGCCATTAGCATACGGCTTGGGGGTTGCCGGAGCTTCGCCCCTCGGTGAGGTCAAGTTCTTGATAATTTGATCACTTTTCACGGGCTCTGGCAGCTGCCTTTGTGTGCAGTTGGGGGGTCTGTGTGCAGCGTGAAGCGGAGCAGAACTGGCGAGGAGTGCGCTCAATGGCTAGGGGCCGGGGCGGGGGCCTCCCTCCCCGACGGGCGGGCCCTGCCCTGCATACAAACCAGCGCCGGCGGGCGGGCGGGAGGGATGGAGCCCAACCCCGCGCCACCTCTGCGCCAGCCTCGGCCAGGCCACTCCCGCCCGAGCATCCCCAACTTCCCTGAGTGGTTAAGGTGCAGGCAGGCTCCCAGCGTCACTCCCCGCACCCCACTCCCCCCCAAACATAAGATGTATTACAATGTCTAGCAAATAAAAAAGCAATTGGGGGAAATCTGCATTCCGTTCCCATGGCAACCCAAGGCAGCGCACCCGGCCACTCAGGCTCCCAGCCCCTCTAAGCTGGGTGTGGGGAGTGGGGCCGCCCCTGATCCCTGCATGGGGATCTAGGTCCCATGTGGCAAACAGTGCTGGGGGCCCTCTTGAGGTTCGTATCTACCGCCAGGTTACTGTTTTGCCTGACACCTCAACTTGTCCTGAAGCTCTGGGCTCCAGGAAGCTTGAGGGAACCCCCTGGGCTCCTGGGGATGCGTGGCTGTAGAGCCAGCCCTGGTCCCTACCTTGGCTCATTGAAGAAAAAATTCAGCCCCCATGATGGTTTGGAGGGCTTTCTAGGTTTGGATGGTGTGAGAGCGCTGTGACAGGCAGGTTGGAAAGAACTTGAGCCACCACCCAAACACGACCCCCCCCCCATCCCCTTGCCCTTCCTTATATACACCAGGAAACATGTGGAAGCCTGAAATGACTCCTCCAGAGGCATAGAGCTCAGGAGGGCAGAGGATGGCCCAGCTCACTTTACCCCTATCTTGGCCCACTTCATTCCTGGGAGCCTCTTCCTCAGTTATTTATAAGGCCCACATTCCCAGCTCCTACCCAGAACCTGCTCGAGTCCCCTTGTAACAATGGAAATCTTTTTCCACTCTCATTCCCTCAGGCACCTCCGCCCCTCGTGTTTGGCCTTTGCTTAACAAAATTATTTTGAAAATAGGTTAAATGTGTAAAGGGGGGAAACTCCAATAGTATGAAAGGGAGATCCCTTGGCCCTGGGAAGAGAAACTTCCAGGCTGAGGCCGACAGTGGAGTGGGACTTTGCACTGGACCACCTTTCGAATTTTGAACCACATGAATGTGTTAGCTATTGAAAATAAAAATGAAATAAGAAAACAAAGAACAAGCAGGGAAGTCGGTTGCCCTTCCTCTGCCCCCAGTTCTCCTCCCCAGAGATCATCATCAGGTAGAAGGTTTTCATGGATCCTGTGTGTTCCTTCTCCCCTCCCCCCCCCCAGCCCCTTTTAAAAGCCAGCCTGCCTTGTTCGTGGGAAGAGGCTGGGGAAGGGTGGCTAGTGTGATTCAGAATCCACCGGGCCTTGGGCAGCATACCCTGGGCTGCCCCGCCCTTCCAAGCGCACCTGGGAGCACCTGGGAGCCAAAGCTCCGATCCTGACCTCATTTCGGAGGAAACCGGAGCAGCTCTTCCCGCCCCCTCGCTCTGTGCTCCCGGCCTCCCTTGCTAGCCAGCTGGCCCTGGGCCCTGGGGCTTCCGTCTTCCTTTCCCACCATCCCCATCCCTTTGCTATTTTGCAAGAACTAGTCCTTCTACTAGTAGCCTAGTGGATTTGCAACCTCACAGCCGTGTCTATACAGTTCAAATGAGTTTCTTCTTTTATTTTTAAACACCAGGGTTCCAAACCGTCTGGGCAGCCCTGAAATCTGGGTCCGGGGGGAGGAGGAGTCTGCACGGGGGAGAGTGCGGTTTTCTTTCCGCTTTCTACGAAAATCCGTTGATACAAACCTCCCAGGTCAGGGGACGGATCCGGCGGCGGGCCATCAGCGGGCTGTGTGCGCTGGAATCTTAATCTCTCGGACCCCGCCCCACACCCACCAGCAACGGCCCTCTGAGCGAGGCCGAGCCTCCCGATTTCGGCCTCCGGGTATGAATGCCTTCCCCTAAAGAGCCTCGTTCAAATCCCCTCTGGACACCTGAAGTCTCGAGAACAGGTTCAAAAATCGGTGCCTCGCCCCATGAAACCTTTTCCGACTTGCCCGGGCCTGAAGGAGCCCTTCTCGGCCCTTGTCCGCGTGCCCCAGGGAAGCCTCCCCACCAGGCCTCCTCTGGCCCCTCGGCTCCACATGTTTGGGCTTCACTTTTGTCGCAGGTCTGCCCTCCTTTTCACCTCGCCCCAATCCAAAAAGGCTTTGGGGAATCTGAAAACGCAACTGAAGCTTCCGCTTGAGAGCCAGAATGGATTGGGATCTCAAAGATGCTCTTCACCCAACCCCCTTCACTTGACATCTAGAAATACCGAGCTCAATAAGGCCCAGTGGCTCGCCAAAGGTCGCACGGCAAGCCACTGGTGGGGCAGAGGGCAGGGCCGCCACCGAGGTGGCAGCAAGGGCTTCCTTCTCACCGGTCCACGAACTCCCAGCCCCGAACGACTGTAGGAGCCGGCGGGCCTCTGCCCCGGCGAATGGGAAGCTGGCAGCAGCGGGCGCCGCCGAAAGTCAGGCTGCGGCGCGGCCGGAGGAGGCCTGCTGCCCGCCGGCCGGGGAGCTCTCCGCGGCCGCGGCCTGACCTCCCGGGAAATGGGACCAGAGCGCGGAGGGAGCGAGGCCCGGAGGCCTCCCAGGGCCCAGCCGCGACGCTGAAAGGCATGAAGGGTCGGAATTAGGCGCTCATTTAGCGAGCGTTACTAATCCGAAGTTACAGCGCTAATTCCCTGATCCGGCCGCTCCCACACGCAGCGCGGGGATTAGACGCGCGGCCGCCGCCCCGCCCCGCCCTCACACCCCCAAACGCGCCCGCCCCGCGCCCTCGGGTCCGCGGGCTCCGGGCTAATCCGGCGCGCCGCGCTCGCCCGGCCCGAACGTGCCACGGGGCGGGCCCAGCCGGCCGGGGTGTGCCGGCCCGCGCGCCCGGGGCCCGGGGAGGCGGGGAGGGGGCGGCCCCGGCGGGGTCTGCGCGCCCTCCGGGGCCCGGGCGGCGCGGCGCGGGGCCGGAGAGCCGCCCGGATTTCTCCACCCCGGGGTCCGCGCTCCCACGGCAGCGGCCCCTCGGAGGCCGCGGCGCCATTTTAATAGCCTTCATTTCCCCCTTGGCATCTCTCGCGCGCGCATGTGTCGGGGTGCCTCTGTCCCCCATCCCGCCTTGACTTTAGCCGCACCCCCCCCCCACCTCCCCACCCCCGTCAGCCTGGATAGAGTGACCAATCAGCTCTGGCCCGGGGTGGGATGCGCGTCACCATGGCGACGGCCGGGGCGCCCTGGCAGTGCCGCCCATCGCAGAGGGAGAGTCTTCGCTGCGCCTGGACGGGTGGAAAGGAGGGAAGGAGAAGGGTGAAGGGAGGCTGTGGCACCTTCCCACGCCCGCCCCATTCTGCCTAGGGTCAGTTTAGTTCGGGTCGGGCACGGGGAGGTTGGAAGACGCGGGCAGGGCCTTTGGAGAGCCCCGAGCTTGTCCCGGAGAGGCGCTTTTGGGAGGTTTCCCCACTTGGTCCAAAACCCCACCCTGGTCTACCTCCGGACCTTCTCTCTCTCTCTCTTCCTAAGAGAGTGGTGTTCAGGAGCTCTCGGAGGTTGCCTCCCGCATTGCCTGGGCCCTTGAGTGCTGTGATTGGGGGCAAGTCACTTCCCCTCTCTGGGTCTTAGTTTTCGCGTCCGTCAGATGGGCTGGTGTGCAGGCTCATCACGCAGAGCATGGAGCGGGTGCTCTACCAACGTTAAAGAGACCCTGCTCCCAAAGCCCGGAGGGCAAGACTATTGAGTGCAGAACTCAGAACTTGGGGATGTCCTTTCCGTCTGGGGACAGCCAAGTTTGGGTGTCTCATGGCTTCCTAGAGCCAGCTTTTCATCTCTCCTCCAGACAGCTGGGAATCCGAGAGAAGGGGAGGGTGTTTAAAAATAGAGCCAGGGTGGGGGCTGTGGCTGGAACAAAACCTTGGTCAGTGGCGCTGAGAATGGGCCGTTGCGCCTCCTATAGCGCTGGTTCCTTCCTTCCAGGCCGGTCCGGCTTAAGCACCACTTTAAGTGGTCCGGGCATTCACTGGCCGGCCCCTCACCGCAATTGAGCCGCAGGGGTTTGAAAAGAGGGCCAGGGCCTCAATGACAGGACCTTGGGCCAGGCTAATTGGTTTTGGTTCAAGGGGATACTGGATTTGTGAAAAGCTCCAAACTGCCTTTCCCACGGCAGAGCCAGGCCACGGCTTTGAGGAGAAGGGTTTGAGGAGCTTGGGGCCCAGGCGAGAAAGCCAGAGCCAGGTGCCTCCAGCTGATGATCCTTTCCTAATGGCCAAGACATTCCTCTGCTTGGAGGTTGGGGAGTGGTTACAAGGCACCTCGTGGGTGCAGGCGTGTTCTCCTAACCCTGTCACACACACGTGCGGTGGTGTCTAGGAGGGGGGCCCTCGTCTCTGAGCCTTTTGCACTTGCACACCTTAGTAATGGAATGGCCTCATTTCCCCCCCCACTGGAATCTTCCAGTAATTGTCGAGCTAATAGTTCCCGTCCCCGGACCTGGCCCAAACCTGGGCTTTTAGACTCTGGGAGAGTTCTGGACTCTCTCCTGAGGCGGGCAGGGCAGTTTGTCTCAAGATACCCAGCTTCTCTCTCTCTCGAAATGTTCCTAAGCTACCCTGGGCATTGGCAACAAGGTAGAGGTGACAAACAGGGGGCCTCGGGGTATTTTTTATTTATTGATTTTTAAATTTAAGAGTCAACTATGTCTTCACATGTAAAAAATAAGCATTAATTGTATTATGACAAGCCCATTGTTGTAGGTAATGTTAGTGTAGATACACTGGAGCATATATCTTGAGGTATACCAGATATCTATGTGTGTGGACCAAATGATTGCACATCTGTCTATATAATATACCCATTCTTGTATATATCAGGTCCGCATATCAAATCATACACTTATATGACCAGTTATGGTAAGGATGGTGGCAGGGTTGAGGGGGAGCTATAAAAAAAATCAGTCCCATTTAAAATGACGTTGCCTTGACTGAGACCAGTTTTTCATGGTTCATTGTGTGTTGAAGGGAACATTTCTAAGTAATCGCCAGCTAAGAAACCCCCTACCCTCTTTATTATCCTCCACATTTTTCTCCATATTTGCCCACTTGAGGCATATGGTAAGTAGGAGAAAGGTACTTTGAAGAGATAGAGAACTCTGTGTATCACATTTTCCATTTTTATTTCAATTTTTAATTGCCCAGAGCCTAATTTCTTTGGGCCTCTGCTGATTTGCACATTTGAGATTCATGTGTAAATATGCATGTGGCATGTGTGCACGCCTGGGCCTCCTTATCACAAAGTGTGCTCTCTCGGTGTTTAAATACACACAATCCACATCGACACACGATTACGGGCTTGCGTATTTGCCTCTTCTCTAGAATCAGGTTAATTTTCCCTCCGCTAATCCTCAAACCCATTAAGTTCCCTCCCCCCCCCCCCACACGCACAAAAAAATTGCAAACCCTATCACAGACCAGTGGTCTCACCCCACTTCTCCAGCAGGCGGGGTGCTGGAGTGAAGGTTCCTATTAGGCAGACTTCATTAATGTTACCAAATATACCCCAGCACATTTACTCGTCTGCTGTGAAGTATTATCATAAATAATTAAAATTAAACTGCACTTGTCAAAATAAATGAACAAAGTAGAGTTAGTGATGTCTCTGCCTTGATTTGCTTGCCTCGGTTTGCTTAGTCACTAATTTGAAGAAAAGAAGAAAGACAGAGGGAGAGAGAGGAGGGAAGAAAGACCAGACCGCCATGGGAAGAGGAGCGGAGACGTGTGGACAGAAACCAAGGGAAATCCCTACCGTCTCTGCCCTTAGGTTTCCAGTCATTAGGGCGCTCCGGGAGGCTGGAATGCAGCCTCTAACATCAGCTCATAATGAATATTGAGGTGTGGATGTGGAAGGAGGGATTTCTTTGTTTACTGAGGAATGGCCATGGGAATGGGGGAGAGGATTGCCTTTGGGGATTAAGGAGTGGGCTTTGTTTTTATGAAGGGCCTTACTTCTTTTCTGAAGTTTTCTGCAGCTAATTGATTCAATTCAGACATTCCTCCTCCCCACCCGGCCAGCCAAGGCTGTGCGTTTGTGAGATGTGCACAGCTCCGTTTCCCCATCTGCTCCGGCCCCTTTCTCCACAGTGACCCTTGAAAAGGGTGTGAACCTTCACACTGGGGCTATGGAGAAATCAGTCAGGGGCCGAGGGCTTTGTATGTATACGCGTGTGATATAAGCCACATGCGTAATACACCTGAATACATATTATTAAAAGTATAATTTACATATAGAAACAGATCATAGGTGTACAGTTGTATGGGTTCTGACAACTGCATTTTACACCCATGTAGCCAACACTACAGACGGACAGCGTTTCCCTCACTTCCAGAAGCTTCCCTCCTGCCTCTTCTCAGTCAATCCCTACTCACCTGCCTTCTGATGCCTCTTACCGCGGATTAGTTTGACCTATCTAGAATTTGACACACATGGAATGTATGCTAGGACTTTTTTTTTTTTTTTTAAAGGCTTTATTTCAAGTCCGGAGGGAGCGCTGTCCTCAGAGGCCTGGCTGAGTGCTTGTCCAGATTTCATGTTTACAGTCGCATTGGACTTGTGCTAAACACTTTCCCCTCGGAGGGGCCCGGAAGGCAGCCCTGTAATTAAATTTGGGGGTGGGGTTGCTGATTTGGGCTGGTCTTCTGCCAGGAGAGCCCTGTTCTCACCCGAGGTCTGTTAATGAGCTGGGGACAGGTGAGCCTCACACATTCCAACTCGCCTCTCTTCAGCGGCATCCAGGAGCCTACGGAGAGCTATTAATGGAAGGTGCCGGCTTTGTGCTAATTAGAACTTCCTTTCAGCTTCCATCTGCACAGGCCCTCTGACCCCTCAGTGGTCAGCCTCACCCCCCCCCCCATCAGTTTGCAACTTAGTTTTGTCCCCCTTCCCTATGAGTTAGGCTGTGCTGTGAGTGGAGCCGCTCTCTGTCTGCAGCCAAACCCCGGGGCTTTGTGTGTTGCAGGAATGTATAGGGTAGCATTTCTCCGGTTTTCTCTGTCTTGTCCGGGTGGAGATGCACTGCAAGTGGGGCAGGGGTCCACCCTGGCTACGCAGGTCTCACACCATCGATTTGGGTTTATTTTGAAAGGGACCGCTATCCTCTGCCCCCTGGCGAGTGTGACTGCAGACCCCTTGTGCCCCCATCCCCCCCATTCCTCCCCCCCCCCGCCACGTTCCTGGTGCCACCCAAGTCCGGTTGTACCCACCTCACCCCAACCTTCAGGTGCCATCTTTGTCACCTCAGTGAGCCTGGGGGTGGGGGGCTGTTTCCCTGGCTGTCTTCTGAAAAAGCCCAAATTTGCGTTTTCTTAAAATTTATTTCACATCAGGCCCAATGGGCATAATTTTTTTAAATGGAGGTTGTCTCTTACAGAGCCTTCATTGAAAGGGAAAAAAAAGAAACATTAACGTCACATTAACGTCATTTAAAGAAAAAGCGCCTCTCAGCTTTGGAGGTTGGGGAAGTTAGGGCTTTCTGTCTGATTATCAGTTGGGATGAAATCTTTTGCAGGAAACCAGAGAGGGGCGTTTCCTTGCAATGTTCCTCTTTTTAGCTCCTGAATCCCCTCGGGTCTCCATTGGGGTTGTGTGTAAAAATACCATGCCCAACCTGCCCCTTCATCTCATTTTCTCCTGCGTGAATTATCCTGGTAATAATGCAGGTCACCCACTTCTCTGACTGTGTAGACTGGGGTTTTAAAAATCAGGAGTGGATTATTGGCCAGCATTTGGCTTTGCCAGATTCCCTGAAGGTTCTGGACCTAATTCTCAAGAATGAGGATGGAAATGCCTCCGGGGTGCCCACAGAGGCTGCAAGAATTTCTTGTTCATTGGTCATGGGGAGAGCCGGGGGACTGGCCTGTGGCCTTTTCTGTCCCTAGGAGTGACAATTCCTGAGCCAAGGACCCAGGGTGATCCTAGCCTGGGTTAATAAACTGGCAATCCAAATTCAATAAGGGCAGCAGCTGGTTGGGTGGGGAAGGATGCGCACACTTGTGAGGCAAGTTTTTGGGGTTTTTCTTTTAGGGGGGACATGCTTTTGCCATTGCAACTCAGTGTATACTTGACAAG